CCATGAGCTCGAATCTACGGGAGTCTCTCCGTTTCTATCTCTCTTACTCTTGTCTACGGTAAGAAACGACGCCCGACGTTCGGGCGATATTCACGGAGAAAACAACCTAGGAAAAAGGACGTTGCAAAAAGTGCGAATTTTTTTCCAAACAAATGAGAGAGAGAGAGAGAGAGAGAGAGAGAAAGAGAGAGAGAGATTTCCTTAAATTCCGACTACAGGGACTCGAGTCTCTTTCTCTCTTTACTGTCGACTCTTACTTTTTCTGATGCCGTCCTTATTTTATTTTACTTACTTTTGTAATTTCCGTCATTGGACTTTGTAATTTCGTTTTTAATATTTCAAAAAATTTTCTTTATTTTTATTACTCTGTTTCTTTTATTCCCTTAAGCGAAAAAAAGAATTTCATAATATAATATTTATTTTACTTTATGAAATTGCATATATTATTAAATAACTGGAATTGTCGTTGCTGTTGTTGTTATTATTATTATTAATATTATTGCTAAAAAAATCATGTAATACCCATGCGGCTGTTCACACACACACACACAAAAAACACATTTTACAATTGTTTTTTGTTCATACAATTATGCAATAAAAATTTTTATTATAATAATGATGAACAATTGAAATTAAGATCTTTCTCCTTTACTTTTATTTTGCATTTTATATTATGTAATATTATTTTATATTATATTTATTTATTTTTTATAAATTTCTCTCTTCTCTGCTCATTATACATCACAATGTCTCGTTCTATCGCTTGGCATGCATCTCCCTCGCTCCAACATCAACCCATCTTCTCCTTCGTTCTCCCACCACGGCTTCGATGCATCTTACTATTCCGCTCGCACTCCTATCATGCTCATCCTCTCTCACTCTCGCACTACAAGGCAAGTCGTCGTCGGCATTGCTCATAAAGCCTATTGCTTGTCTGCCTGACTGACTGCCCGCCTGCCTGCTTGCATGCCTGCCTGCCTGGCTTGCCCTGTCTGTTTGCCTGCCTTCCTCTTCTCTCATTCTCCCTCGCTCTCTCACACACACACTTTCTCTCTCTCTCTCTCACGTTCTCGCTCTGTCTCTCTCGCTCCCTGCCGGCCCACGCGTACGTGTATGGGCAAAAGTGCCCGGTCGCACCAATACATAGCGGGACGGGATTGCCGTGAGCGAGCCCCCTTGAAAATATAAAATGTCGCGAGACGGGGACTTCTCATTGGAGGAAGATGTTTGCCAGCGATATACGAGGCTGGGCGGTGGGTCGTCGAGTTTGCTCATCGGTGTAGAAGCCTTGCCGCGCGTCTCTCTCTCTCTCTCATTCGCTCTGCACGCGTGTGGGAGAGGGCGCGCGCGCGCGCGTACCTGCGTCTGTGTACAGGCGACGGAGCGAGAGAGAAGAGGAGTGCGTGTTGTCTCGGTCAGGGGGACGTAGGGGTGGGGCGGAAAGACCGCTTAGAGACAGCTGTGGCAGGGACGTAACACAAGAGCCCCCGAGGATTATGTTATACTCCCGAGTTTAGCTTTCCCTCCCTCTTTCTTTATCTCTACGTGTAATTTTACCATCAGCTTTTTTCCCCAACTTGTTTTTCCAGTCGTCTCGTCCTTTTGCGCTCCTCTTCGTTTCCTTGTTTGTAATGTCGCGCGTTATTCGCGCGTTATTCGCGCACTTCTCGCTTTTGCTTTTGCAATTTCGCCGTATAGTGACAACAATGTGGGGAAAAAAGAGAACTTCTGGTATTTAAATGCCAGAATTGCCGTTGGAAGTTTTAAGAGATTTTTTACACTTAATGCGTGATTTATGTTCGAGCGTGCCTTTGATACTTTTTTCCATGGATTTTCATTAATGTTTGCTCACACGTTTTTACAACAACTAATATTATTATAATATATAATTTTATGTTGAATTCATTGTACAGTTCCTTCAAATAAAAAGAGACATGATTTTCGAAAATACAAATTTACATTAATATACAGATTTAGAAATTTATGTGCATAAGCATTTGTATGCGTTAAAATTATATTTTAATATTATAAATAGAAATTAATTTTAGATTACTATGAATATTCCATTCGTATTGGCTCGAATAAGTTCAAATAATACTTTTACTATATTTATTTAGACAACGATAACAATAAAAATATAAACTACGTTAATAATTAAAAGAAACTGGTTAAATATAATACTTATAATTGTCAACGAAATTTGTTATGCACCAATAATTTTATTACACAGAATTAATAATGTACTGCATATCTATATATATACACTTTTTTTTTTGAAACTGTTAACTATTTTTTTTTCTTTCATTATAGAAATAACGCTTTTAACATTTAGATTTTTTTTTTATAAATGTATGCCAAGAAACTAATTTAGGTACACACGTTTGTTGAAAAACATACTGAACCAATTTTGACAATTTTGGTTAATTAAAAAATAAGTAAATAAAAATATACTTACAATTAACAAAAACGAGAAAAGTTTAGATACATATTATTTAATAAAAATAATTATTGCAAAAATTTTATAAAAAGATGAACCGATCAGTACACTTATTGAAACAAATTAAATAAAATTTGAAATCAAATAATTAAAATAAATAACCTAAGATTAAATATAATTTTTATTTAATCTTCATTGATAATCAAGGCAGAGACAAGTATAATGAAACTCATTATTTTTCTTTCATACAAGTGAAACGATGCTAATGCACGATAAACATGCTTATAATTTTGTAGACAGAAGTAACAGATTGTACTTTAAGATTTTAAAGAATTATAGTTAAGATTCTCTTTAGGGTGATAAAAAGAAAAAAATTTTACACTAATTATGTTATGCAAAATTAAAAAATAAATTATTAATATAAGCTATACAGTAGCATAATTAATAAAAAATATATATACATAAATTCGTCAATTTTGAAAGGTTTATTATTATTATTATTATTATTATTATTATTATTATTATTATTATTATTGCTATTACTGTTATTAGTAATATATTTATAATAGTGAGTTAATTATAGGAAAATTAATTTTGGAAAATTTATTGAAAGGGATTATGATACTTCATTTACGAATTGATTTATATTTATAATATTATTGATAAATTTGTTATTACATTTGGTAGAAAATTGTTAAAAGCACGAAAATCGCTTCATAAAGCAATACGATAAATGTATAATTACAATTATATACACGAATTCTTTAAAATGTCTATTAGCCTTAGTAATTATCGAAATTTTTTACGTATAAAACAAAACGATATAACGATTTGTATGTTGTAACCAAGAATAACTGGGAACGATTACCATAGAACGGCAAGAGTTCTATATGATAGTTTCAGCAAGTGTTTACGTGCATAATGCTGATTGGAACATGGATAAACGGTGGTGTTACTAATAAGAAAAGCCCCATTATTGACTCGGTAATGCTTGCAATTTGCAAAAATTCACATAACGATTAAAAGAAGTGGAAAATTCAGAGATCTGCTCATTAGGCAATGGAAATTTTAGAGAACTGACCGCAAGCGGGTACAGGCCAACGGATGTCCCAATGATAAACGACAGAATCATATCCTAAGCATTAATCTACATTTCCTCCCCCAATTGCGAGCCCCACCAACGAAGTGTAAGTACAATGTCGAGTCGGAAAAACAAGAGAGAAAAAAAAAAAAAAAAACACCGAAAAAAATACTTAAAAGGGGAAAAAAAAACTGAGGAGTCCGGAAAACGTGGGGCTATACAATCGTCCGTAAAGCTGACGGTGGCATGGGTTCGCGCCGGCATCGAGTCCCCCCCGGTGAAAATCTCGAATCCCCTCGGAGCCGTAGCTACGTTCCTGCCCAACATCTCTCCCGTGCAAAGCTCGAATTCATTTCGCGTCCCCCCAGTCCGCCAGGCCCCCCTTACCGCAAAATCCCCCGGTCGCCCTTCCACGCGCGCACACTCAGCCGTGAAAGTGCAGGCGCACCAACACACGTGCGTAGACTCGCACATGCATTGTGAATCCCACTCCTCGGGCGCCGCAACGGCGTTGGCTCTCGTCGCCGAGACCGCGCGTGCGCCCTCCTCGCCGACCTCCACCCCGGGCGGCGCGCCGCCGTCGCCATGTTCTCGGGGAGTCGCGTCGGCGCAGCGGAGCCGAGAGCCCGGCGCCGCCCAGCTCAAGGTAACGGTGATTGGCCCCAGGCTCGGACCAATCGTTGCCGCGCCAATCCACCCGCTGGGCTCACCCCCACCCTGCGACGTCGGCCGCCCAAGAGCCGATGCCCAACCAATCGAGTGCCCGGGGCGCTCGAGTGGGGAGACACCGACGACGACACAACGACGACGCGCATCCAAGGAGAGAGAGAGAGATAGAGCGAGAGTAAGCAAGTGAGCAAGAGGGAGGGATATATATATATTTTTTTTCTGTATACATATATATATATATATATATATATATATATATATATATATGCGCGCAGAGTCGCAATGAGAGAAAGAGCGCGCGAGAGAGAGAGAGAGCGTGAGACACGCCGTTGGGCTACTTCTTCCGTCACTGTACAGCGCACAGTGTATACGTGCGCACTCCGGGATAACGTACGTACGGCAATCGACGCGGGTATCGTCCTCGTCTTCGTCGTGGACTTAAGCAAACGCAAACGTGTTCGTCCGTTCGTTTGCCCCGGTCGTCAAGATTCGCCGCTAGGTTAACGAACAAAGATAGAGCGATTTGTGTTGGTTACTACTGTGCTACATGAATGTATATCGAATATCAGTGACATAGTACATCATACCCATACATATTCATATATACAAATATATATATATATATACATACGCATGCACGCACGCACGCATATATCTATATCTCTTCTGGACGTTGCCTTGCTTCGACTTTGAGTCGAGTATATTGGGAAGGGGAACTAAGTGCCTCGGGACACCTGGAATGGAATAGAAAAAACTTGACGGGCAGACAAAGATAGTTGTATAAATTGAAAAAAAGATCGTTGGAGCCCAATGCAGCGAATATATGTACTCGAGAGCCTTATTCCTGTACTTCAAAACGTGCCAAGGTGTGACTGCGCACGCGCACTCTGGTAAGTATCAGTCTAATCTGCTCGTTTGTTTTAATTTTTCAACTTTAGCCCCTCTCCTTTTGACTTTTTCCTTTTATTTTAGCGTTTCTCTTTACCGATGACTAATGGGCACTTTCCTGTCTCTCTCTCTCTCTCTCTCTGTCTGTCTGTCTGTCTGTCTCTCGTGTTCCTTCTCTCTCTCTCTCTCTCTCTCTCACTATCTCCTCTGTACTTCTCTCCCTTCCTCTTTCGATCCACTTTCAAAACGTACAAGTCCGCTATCGATGGATTATTTCTTTCTTCTTTTCTTTTTTTCTATCCTGTTTCATCCTTCCTCTTCTGGCGTACCAAATGTCGTCGTCGTCTTCGTCTTCTTCGTCTTCTTCTTCGTCGTTGCGTCGTGTTGAATCATTCTAGGTTAGGTAGAGGTATCGGTGAGGGAGCCAAGTGTGGGACTATGATGCCCCTTCCTCTAGGGGCCACCAACAGGCAGCCACAGAGAAAGAGCAGAGTGAATAAACGAATGAACGAGTGAGAGGGAGTGAGAGCGGAAAGGAATCGTAGTAAAAAAGAGAAAGTAGAGAGATAAAGTGAGGAGCGAGTGAGTGGAGAGGAGCGAATGAGAAAGATAGAGTGTGTTGAGTGAGATGGCTGGAAGGGGAAAACGGAGCTGCTATTTAGCTATTTGGATATGTCGTTTTTCTATGCCTTGGCAATCTATCGAGTTCCCTAATTGGGCATGACCCTTGGACTATTCCCAATTTTCTCAGGCCCCAAGAAAAATTTGTTCGTTAATGCGTGCGTACATTATTCAAATCACCAACGCGTTGATGCTCCTAACCTCAAAGACTGTCGGCTCAATGCAATGTAACAGGCGCGCGCACTGTCAAGTATTGAAAGCGAGTTGCGAGTAAAATATATGTATATATATATATATATATATATATATATTCATATGTTTACACACACACACACACACACACCACACACGCATATGCATATATAAATGAATGTGGCCGATGGTGAGAATTAAAGTGGGGACGATTCTTCGGATATATATCAAGTTTATATGTGTGCGTCGTATACGCATATGGCTACGCGCTGAGTGCCCAGGGATGCGCGCGCGTGTGTATAGCGCGATGGCGAAAGCACTCCGCGTGTGCACAGCCCCGTTTCTATCCGCTTCTCCCTCGTCCCTTTCTCCATCTCTCCTACTTCTGGCACGTATTATTATTGTATGATCGGGATGATTGCAATAGTGTACGGGCCCCTCAACGAACGATATGGCGCGATGAAAAGAAAGACGTATCCATGTTGGTCGGTACGAGCGAGAGCCAGAACAAGAGATAGAGTGAGAGAGATTAAAGTAAGAAAGAAAAAGATAAAAGCATTCTCCGGGAACGTCCCCCCCTTATTTTTCATTCGTCTCCGCTGTCTTCATTCTTTCCTGTCCCCCCTCCTTCCGTTCTCTCATATATTTTGTGTGTGCCGCCTTTATCCCCCTTTTTACCGCATGTCGGGAGCGAGAGTGTATTTATGCGCACGCGCGTCGGTGTGTGCGTCTGAATGTGTGCTCGAGGGAACACGAGAACGAGGGAACGTCCATCTCTCGCTTTCTCCCACCACCGCTGCACGTTCGCTCGCTCGTTCGTTCGTTCGCTTCTTTGCTTTCTCATCTCGAACCATGTTCTCTTCTATCCTCGTCTCCCGCCCCCCGCCACGTACATGCAAGCCAGCTTAAACGTGTAGGATATGCCTATGCGCGAGCGCACGCACACATGAATCGCAGCTCGCAGCTAGTGTGTTATGCCGCGCAGCTCCTCTTTTCCATCCATGTAACGTCTACGCCTATCTCTTTCGCTCTTTGAAAAACTATTCAGCAGGGTTGTGCCTGTTTTGTGCACCTCTTTTTATCACATGCAACTCGCGCGCGCACCGCATATGCCTAGCACTCTTTTTGAATTTTTAGTATATATGTGTTGATACTCAATAATTCTTATATTTTAGTAACAAAATAACAATGCAAATTTATCATAATACATTTTCTTTATTTAGTAACAAGAATATAACTATTACTACTATCTTTTCACATTTAATTGCGGTGTTATAATTAAAATTTTATATACTTCGACCTTTATTTTATACTCTCTTTATTTATTGTATCTCAATCTTTCTTTCTTCAAGTCCTCTATTTTTACAATGACAAAATCGAATCTTATTTTCTTTACCACATTATATTTGCCGTAGCCTACATTTTTAATATTAAAACGGTTGAGTTAAAAAAAAAATAATAATAATAAGTTATTCCTTCTCACAAAAAAAATATGTTTACAAAGGAATTTTGTTTGAAAAGAAAGAAAAAAAAAACCATCTATATTTAGTAAATATATCATTTTTACTATTTTTCTTTTTATAAAGTAACGTAAGCAATGAATATAATAAGAATATTTGCAAATATTATTAATATAGAGATTTTATATCTACTATTCGATAATGTAAAAGTATTTATATTTGATTTCAATATATCTGAGTGTTTTGCGTGTGTTAGTGCGCGCACTCGCAAATTGTATGACAAATAAAATATCTTTAAAATACAAAAATATCACAAACGGAGCAAATTTTATATACGTTTAATGTACGTAATTTTATGAGTATAGAATTATGCATTTCATTTAAGTAATAAAAACGGTTCAATTGCAAGAATTATAATGTATAATATTATAATAAATAACTATTATATATTTTGTAACGATTTTAATTTAGTATAAATAAGCAATAAAAAAATTTTTGTTCAAAAGCGGACCTTTTAAAGAATCGTTTGGTTCGATCCATCTACTTTAATATATTTGAACTCGATCGAATATCAAACGGAGAATTTATTAATATTTGTAACTGACTGTAATAAATACTCGTTTATTAAACTAATATATAATTGATAGAACAATTTATCTATATATATATATATATATATATATACATATATATAAAGTTAACCCATGTTTTCTTAATTAAAATTTATGTTTGCAAATAGAGTAAAGAATAACTTGAAAACACAAACTATTATCATCGCTTAAGATTGAAAATAATAATTATGTTGAATAAAATTAAAAAATTAAAAAAATGCACTGCTAATAATAGGTAGATTAAATAGTTTTCTATTTTACGTGCAAAGTTAATTTAATCGTATAATTATTTTTCAACGCTATATAACTTTTATATACTTTCTTCTTTTATAATAACATCCTTTTTTTTTTTTTTTTTTTTTTTTTTTTTTTTTTTTTTTTTTTTTAAATAGAAATCGAAGAATCGCTATAATTAACTCATTAATTCAGTCCGAAATATAATAGTCCAATTATAATAAATTTTTTTTTTTGCAATGCAGAATTCCTATAAATCACGGTCCTGAATAGATATAAGCGTACACAATTATAAAATTGAAAAATAACAAAAAAAATAGTAAAAATTTGATAGATGAGAATATTAAGAGATAACAAATAATATATAAAAGCTGAAATGTCCCACATACTGTGCTATAATATAAATGACATTATATCTATCGTTGTCTAATGTCAGTATTAACTAATTCAGTAACATTATAAAATTTGAAATGGACGTGATGTGTCGTAAGAATAAGAATAAACAAAATAAAAATAAATAAACGAGTCGTCGTAAAAGCCATAAGAAATCCAGGACTGAGATCGAGCATGTAACCTAGAGAGGAATAGCTCGAACTTGAACATTTTTCGAAATGTCATTAATTAAGCTCCACTGTTTCCCATCCATCTATCCCACTCAAGTCCTCTCAGGGCGCCTGTTTCGTTTTTTTTTTCGTCCCTACATTTCGCTCTCTTTCTATTTTACTTATGAGAGACGCCTATCTTTCGCGCACGTCGTCCCTTTTCCCTCGCTCTTTCTCCCTCTAATTCCATCTCTATCTTGGCTCCAGCATCAGCCTCGTAGGCCACCCTCTCTCCGCTCTTGCACACACGCAAGGGGCCGTGGTAGTCGTAATACCTCCGCCCCTTGCCCCTTGCCCGTCGCTCTGTTGATTCCTTTGAACCGGTCCCTCCGCTTCTATCTCCTTTGCTCGCTCTCTCCATCTCTCTCTCTCTCTCTCTCTCTCTCTCTCTCTCTCTCTCTCTCGGGGGACTCCCCCGCTGCGCGCCTCGTACATGAGGGGCTTCCACACACCTTGTGCCTGTGCATTGATGGTGCTGACTCTTTGGTGCGCGTGTGTACGCCACACTAATTATGATGGCCGGCAACGGTGAGGCTCGTCGCTAGGCCTGGCATTTGCCGAAGGACGACATTTTGTTTTGTGAAACTTCCAAGATGGAACGTGCGCGCCTTGACTACGTGAGCTCTCTTTCTCTCTCTCTCTCTCTCTCTCTCTCTCCCTCTTCCCCTTCACTCCCTCGCTCACACTCACTCTCTCTCTCTCTCTCTCTCTCTCTCTCCTTCTCTGTCTTGTGCGCTTCTTTTCACTCGCTCTTTTCTTTTATGGCTCGCCGCCGTTCGGTCGCGCGACGCGACTGTGCCCTCCTTCCTCGTTGTGGCCCTCTCCCTCTCCCTCTTCCCGCTCACTTTAACTTCTTCTCTTCAACTCTATATCCGACTCCTAGCTGACTCAAGGAAATAGACGGAGGCCGCTGGCCTTAGCCTCGGATTTCCTTCTATTTTCCCTCTTTCTCTTTCCCCTTATGTTGTATACCTGTGGCTCTGCTTCCTCCTCTTTCACCACTATCCCCCCTCCCCCCTCGTCTTCCAACCGATTGTGCATACTTGGTGAGTTTTGGCCAAGTTTTTTCGTCGTCAGGTCCCCGCGACTATCTCGTTTCGCGTTCCATCACCCCGGTTTCTTTCTTTTTTCCCCTCCGGATACTTTTTAATCGCTTGGATATCCATAGTAGGCCTTCAACGCTCATTGAACATCGCATTAAGCGAATCAGCTGTTACCGAGTAGCGCCAGCTGGAAAGCCGATTTTTAATACTAAATAGAGTTTTCTTCCCATTGAAAGCTT